TGTGTGTGTGTGTGTGAGTGTGTGCGTGCGTTTGGTTCCGGCTCTCTCTGTTACTGTTGATTTTTTTCACTCAAGGGTGGGGGCGTTTTATGGACAATCTCTATCTTTGACTAATTGATAAAATAAACACTGTTTCCATTGCAAAAGAGCATAACTCTCTCACGACTGTTGTTTAAGGGATCTAAATGCTCTGCTTCTCTCTCTTCTTTTTTTATCTATTCTTTTCTGTTGTTCTGGGCTCTTCCTTCCACCCCTAGCGATGGTTGCTCCCCAAGTCGCTGCTTGTATGAGATCTGAAAAGACAGGAGAGCCTGCTTTCTACCAAAATCAGACCACGGTTTGTAGATCCCGTGTTCCGTCTCATCACATATCTGGCAGTTTTCTGTGCTGTGGCTTCCACTCAACTGTACTGTCCCTTGCAAGTTCATTTACACAGAATGCATTGCCAGTGCTGTGGCCATTCTTGACATTGTGACTTGAATGAGTGGGTTCATTCTTGCATTTAAAGTTTGCCGACATCCCCACAGACGAGATGAAAACCTCATCAGTGAATGCAATTTTTTTTCTTATTAGTGGGTGTTGTTTTATTTTGCTGTCATGCGTTTTTTTTTTTTGTCGACGATTGCCACCGACCAAAGCCATTAACCGGTACAGGTAAATCTTCTTTGACTCTTTGGATCCCTGTCTATCTTCAGCATGCTAGGTTTCTCTCACAAAAAAAGTAGCTCAAAAGTGCTTCTACATGTAGAATGTTAGTTCTGAAATTCAGAAAAGAGTCGTGGGAACAGAAAGGTCTGTCTGCCTCAGGTTTGTTACATCCATTTTTCTAATCATATTGACATGTCTATCACAAACCAGTCCATTATGTTTGGATATTAAACTTTTGAACAGCATTTTAAAAGCATCAAATGCATGAGTTCATCATTTGCATCAGCACTAAAACTATTCTTAATTGTTGATTGAACACATTCAGTGTAGTCAGAATCAGTAAGTACATTAACATGCACAGTTAAAGCAGATTTTTGCTCAGTTATCATTTCTCTGTCCAAGTATTCATGACAAATATTTGGGAAAAAAAGGCCACACATCACCTCTGCCTTTCGAAGCACAGTGCTAAGGCCAATTGTAGTTTGATTAACGTATAAGTATTGGGCAATAGTCACTAGACTTCACTAAAGTGGACTAGCTCTATTTCAGTTCGACATAAAAAAAACTAAAAGCTGGAATACACTACACTACAAAAAAATCAGAATAGATTTTTGAAATGCTAGGCCTCATACACTTGCAGACTTGCTGAAAATGATTCCAAAAAAACCTGGCCATCATACACTGAATGACTGATCATGCTACCAGACTTACACGTCATTTGGAACAGAACAAACCCACACAGAAATATGCAGCTTGTTGCTGCATGTTGAAAGAGATGCATGACAAAGGAAAACAATATCTTTTAAAATTGACTCAAAACATTGAATGATGTTTGATTTCCTCCGACTGGATGGAATTATAATCTGAAGCTAAAAAAAATTTTCAGACAGAGTCTGTGCCAATCATACACCATTCTGTGAAATCTGTCAAGTCCGACTGACCAAAATACACAGACTGGCTTTGGCGTTCCTCAACAAGCGTCGACTCCTCCAGACTGCAAAAATCTGGGCGAAAATGATGTAGTGGATTCCAGCCTTGACCGTTGTTCTAGTCTGACTGAAATCAGACTTTTAAAGTGCATGTAAACGTACTTAATGGGGGCAAGGTAGTCTAGTCATGGCAACAGCTTAACCAATAAGAGCTTCGAAAATATAGTAATAACAAAGACAAGACACTTTCACAATTCATCACAAACATGATACTTGTTCAGCCAGTATGTGACAAGTGAGTTCACCCATAATTACTCGTATCTTACAGACGGCATCAACGACGGCAACGGCCTCAGCGCCGGTGCACAAACTGTTTCGGAAGTGAACGCAGCTCCTCTCGAAAGTTGGCCCCACCCACCATCTGAGTCCAGCTATCCACCAGACCTTCACAAATCATCACGAAATGACGACAGGAGGGCGCGGGAGTCGGGCCAACAGGAGCACGGCCACCGGTCAAACCACCGCCACATCAACCACAGACACCGCTCCCCTGAAAAGAAGAGCAGGAGCAAAGGGCACAGCAAGGACAGTGGAACCTCAAAGCCTCATAAGAGGAAGGGCGACAAGAAGAGGTCCAGCAAAGATGACTCACACCATCACCACCACCACAGTCACAACCAGAACCACCATCACCACCGGAGGCACCGCTCCCCAGAGAGGCGCAGAGCTCGGAGCGCTGAGAACACCTTGGACAGTCGATATGACCGGAGACACGGCCGCTCACCGGATAGACGCCACCATCGCCACTCTTCTCCTCGCAGACACAGTTCACCTCAGCGCTCACCCCACCGATCCGGTTATCGCCGCAGCTCTTACCACCGTAGATCTCCCTACCGTTCCCCGCAAAGATCCAGATACCAGTCTCCCTCGAGACGTCCTGCGGCTTCCTCAGATAAACCCTACAACGGTGACTTCGACAGGGGGCTGGATATGACCTTAAAAGAGCCTCCTGCTCCGAAGCCTCCATCCCGATCCGAGAGCATTCCACATTTGGCAGCGTCCCTGGACCGGCTCGATCTGGAAGACACCCTACCAAGAGAGCCGCCCAGCTACCTTGACAACCTTTCCCCTATGGAGCGAGCCTATCGCAACTCGACCCTTTTCCGCGGGGCTTCTCGAGACGGCACCTTTCCCCGCGTTCGGACACCCGACTCGGATTCAGCCTTCCAGAACTACAACTCGTTGTTGAGGGGCCGCTCCCCTGTGAGAAGTGGGGGCAGACAGGACGGATACCGTAGAGTCGAGTCTCCGGTTTCAAACTCGTACCGGACCAGGAGTCTAGGTCGAGACCTGTCTCCCATCAGAGGGTACCGCGATGAGGAGGAAGAGGAGGTCGAATCCCAGCTGAGTGATTATTATAGCACGCTCAGATCCAGTTACAGTAGAGCTAACAACAGTGTACCTGAGCCAAGGAGGAAGGCCTACAAAGAGAGCCCTAAAGACCTCAGCATTTGATGGGTCGGCTATGAAGGGCACCATTCCCAGAACCCACTGTCCACACGAGCCTTCATCCAAGGACTGCGCAGACCCTGGATACTAAATTATTGATTTGAAATCTGGTGTTTTCTCATGGTTGAACATCTTTACAACTCTCAACAGCAGAAGAGTGATTTTGTTTCTTTCCATCAAAGCGTCATTTTGGTTTCTTTTATGACCCTTTTTATAAATCTGCTAGCAGTTCTACAGAGATTGACAACTATGTATAAAGAAAACAATTATGTGCCTAACAGTACCATTCTTGGTGTTTTCTTTTTTTATTTTCTTTTTTGTTGTTTTACAAAGGGCAGCCTTTTGGACTACTGTCCGATTATGAAATATTCTGTTACAGAGAGCCCTCTCATGCACCGAGCAGCTCAGTCAATGTGGTGCTCAGACATATACTGTGCATGTCTTTACACTTTCAATGTTCTTTCTCTTTTATTTTCTCTCTCTTCCCCAGTGCCACTGTTTTTTAGACATTTGACCAGAGTATAGCACAAGCCTGCATTCGTTTGTATATTTTTGACAGTTTGCAGTATGTGTACATTCAGAGGTGATCATTTTAAAAGAATGAAGGGATAATGAAATAAAAACTATGATGATAATGTTCAAAAAATAAAAACCGTATATATACACATTTTGATGGTCTTTCTTATAATTCTCAAGCTTTGCACTAAAAGGAAATAGGCTAGTTAGCGGGTCAAGCGGAGGACAACTTGGACTGCGAAATTTATTCAAGATGGATGCGTGTGGGAGGTGGAGACTGTTTAACTGCACTAGGTTCTTCTCTAACACTTTGCCAACATGTCTGGAAAATAAAGAGGAGGAGAGAACAAAGACTTCTTTATCTTCTTGGCAGTTCAAAAGGTGAAGGAAGAGAGATTCAATACACTACCCACGGAGTCGACAGCGTTTTAAAAATCCAGTGAGAACTCCTTCTCTCGGGTTATCAGATGAATAAGAGACTGAGCCTTCCTCTCTGGCTTAAAGAGAATGATGTGAATGCATAAAAAGAGAAATGCATCAGGTGTACTTTGTCCTCTGCAGACTGCAGCCCTAGTAGGGATAGAGTGGTTAGGGATCAGAGGGAATTAGTATGTCCTCACTTCACAACATAACTTTAAAGGGTTAGTTCACCCCAAAATGAAAATTCTGTAATTAATTACTCACCCTCATGTCATTCAAAACCCGTAAAACCTTCGTTCATCTTCGTAACACAAATTTAAGATATTTTTGATGGAATCTGAGAGCTGTCTGACCCTCCCATAGACAGCAACACAACTGAAATGTTCCCAGACAGAAAAGTAGCAAGGACATCGCTAAAAAAGTCAATGTGACATCAGTGGCTCAACTTAAATTTTGCGAAGCTACGAGAATACTTTTTGTGCGCAAAGAAGACAAAAATAACAATTTATTTAACAATTCTTCTCCCCCGAGTTACGTCTTCTGCCATTTTGGAGAGTACCCAAGAACGTAATCTGCGTTGTTTACATTAGGGGGGAAAGCGCGCGCATGAACGTAATCGGCATAATCAGCGTTGTTTACACTTAGGGTAAAGCGTGCGTATACGTTGTGATACTCTCCAAAATGGCGGAAGACAGTAACTCGGGAGAGAAGAATTGTTGAATAAAGTCGTCATTTTTGTTTTCTTTGCGCACAAAAAGTATTGTCGTAGCTTCGCAAAATTTAAGTTGAGCCACTGATGTCACATGGACTGTTTTACCGATGTCCTTGTTACGTTTCTGTCTGGGAACATTTCAAAAGTTGCGTTGCTGTCTATGGGAGGGTCAGACAGCTCTCAGATTCCATCAAAAATATCTTCATTTGTGTTACGAAGATGAACGGAGGCCTTTACGGGTTTGGAACGACATGAGGGTGAGTAATTAATGACAGAATTTTCATTTTGGGGTGAACTAACCCTTTAAAGAATGAGAATAAACATTACTGGTCCAGAAATGCGTTTTAAAGACCTCATTATGTTTATGTATTTTTATTCAGCTTTCAGGTCATTTAGGTTTGCACAACAAAAAAGTTAATGCTTGTACGATTTGGTCTACAGCAAAATATTGAAAAGGTAGAACTCGTGATTTTCACTCAGCACATGAAAAGGTGACCGTGCAGAAGAACAATGTGCGACAGAAAGCTCTTTAATATCTGGCACAAGACAAAAGTAGTTGATTCATTCCTGGAATGACATAGCGTAAGTTGCGCTACCTGGTGTGAATGGCTGTTATTTTGACCTCATTTTAGTCCCACTGCTGCATCCAAGAATAGGAGGCCTACATTTTGGAGAATGAAAAACAGGATTGGAGTGATGTAAGCTACAGACACTGTTGCTTTCCTGCCGTGCAAAAGTATGCTGACTTCCCAACATCCAGATCTGAACAAAGAACAATGTGCCATGCACTACAGTGACTCTGTCTATCTATCTGTCTCTGTCTGTCTGTCTCTGTCTGTCTGTTTATCTATCTATCTATCTAGGCTAGCATTTGTGACCGTCTCTTCTGTTTATGCAGGTTTGAATTTGTATTCTGTTGTACATCAGGGGGAGGGTAAAAGGTTGCTGGGTTGTCATAGTTACCTCAAGGTCATTTTTACAGAGTTTCATAGGTATTTGTTTCCAAAAACCTTAAAATGCCAATAAAAATCAAGGAACCATTGATTTCCCTTGCTCACATAACAGACAATGTATTTGTTTGTAGTTGCATTTGGCAATCAGTGTCATTGAGTTCATCTAGATCATTGTAAGAAAAAAACATTTTGCAGTTTTGCAATGAACTGTTTGATATTGTAGTCTAGATATCAGTACATAAAGTACAGTAAATCATTTTAACATTAAGTGTAAAATCTACATTGCCCTTTACATTTAATAAAAAAAAGTGATTCTTTGAACACCTTTGGATTTATCTCAGTCCTATTTAGAACATTCTTTTGCAGCTGGTATAAGGTAACATTGCTGCAGTGATCAATGTTACATTTACATTTACATTGTCATTTAGCAGACGCTTTTATCCAAAGCGACTTACAAATGAGGACAATGGAAGCAATCAGAATCAACAAAAGAGCAATGATCAGCTATAATGTTACTTATACTTGTTACTTTTATATACTGGCACTATGTAGCAGTTTTATTTGTTCTGCTCAAATTCATGAAACTAAGTTATAAAAATTAAACAGTTTTATATTTTAAAATGTAATTTATTTGTGTAATGATAAAGCTAAATTTTCAGCAGCCATAACTCCACTGTTCATTGTCATGTGAAGGAGTAGTAAAGTGCTGTTCTTGTCTAATAGAGATACTTTAAGTTCCCATCCACAGTCATCCACATCCCATATGTCATTCGTTAAAGGGAAGTAACTGTCATAGGTTGCAGACAGCTGAATTGTATATTTGGTAAATAGCCCAGAGCATGACCCTCAGGCAGAAGATTCAGAGCTGGAGACAGATGAGGTCTCTGTCTTGGACTTCGAGGTAGAACTTCCTTCCTCCTCATCCTGGAAGGGATCTTTTCCACAGCACAGTATTAACATCATGGAGTGACAGAACTGCTTATTCATGAAGACGTAAATGAGTGGGTTATAGAGTGCCGAGCTCTTGGCGAAAAATGCCAGGATGGTCATAAAAATGGGGCTGAACTGACTTACCTGGTGGGTGAAGATATACCAGGTGACGCTGGCATAGGGGAGCCAACATATCAGGAAAGCGATGATCATGAGGATTACCATTCGAGTAACTTCTCGCTCGGCCCTCTGAGTAGTTTCCGATTCTTGCTGCTGGGCGGCTGCGACCTTGACGGTGCAAAGCAGTTGGCCGTAGCAGAAAGAAATGATGGTGAGAGGAATTGAGAAGTGCACGACGAACATGTAGATAACAAAAGACTTGTTCTCAGTCTCAGGATTCAACTTGTAATAGTCCACTCCACACGAACACTGCAGGCCCTCGGGGATGTAGCGGGACCATCCGAGGAGAGGCGGTAAGGCACACGAACAGGCCATTGTCCAAGAAATAGCGACACCAAAAGTGGCGTGGAGTTGCGTGAAGCGAAATTTGGTGAAGGGCTTGCAGACAACCACCCATCTCTCCACAGCCAAGACAACCAGAGACCAGAGTGCAATCTCACCGCCGAGAGTAGCGAAGAGACCCTCCAAGTTGCAGCCGGTGTTCTGACAAATAATGCTACCTATCAGATTATGCTACCAACACTGTATTTATCCTACTGTAAGGGTAGGTTTAGGGTTGGGGTAGGTGTACATGTTAATAAAGCCTCACACCTGTTTAATATCATGCTGGAAGCATGGTTCAGGTAATGTTTATCTTAATCTCTGCCTGCACTTAAACGCTCATGGTGTGATCAGGTTATGTGGATTGAATCTGTCTACATCAGTTGGGTTAAACAGATCAGTTGGTGCATAGATCAACTTCTAAAACAACACACCTCACGTTGTCTCCCTTTCATCTTTAAAACATCTATTTATAATTATCACAAAGACACAACTAAACTAAAGAGTGTAAGAGTAGACAAATGAACATGAAAATGAACAGTACATTACTTTTTTAATAAAGGTGAAAGATTTTTTTTTTATGTTCTATATGTGGTCTTGCTTCACCAGTGTTAATCAGTTTTTTTTATTTGATTTCCGTTTTATAGCTTTAATGCTAACAATTAGAGTTTGAACCTAGCCTTGAACACATTTGAAACTTATGTGCCTTAATGTATTATCCACTTAAATTCCCAACGCTAATATAAAAACTGTTATAAAAGCTTGTTGAACCTTGATATAGTAAGAGAGGGAAAACTTTTTCATCATCATCATCATTAATTCATTTATTTATTACAGATTTCTATTTTTCAGGATTGTATAGTTGTTGACTAACAAGTAGACTTTGTAGAGATGCTATTTAAGGAAACTGTTGGGACAATATATAATTATATTATTATAATTTATATACAAGTATATTCTATAGTTATATTTTATATCATATTGCTATAGCATATATCATTTATGAACCACATTTGGAGGAGTATGAATTTTTCAGACAGTAGACAACTAAAATGTAATGTCTGACAATTTGTTTGTATTATTATTTGATTTCAACAAATAATAACTGTATTAGTCAGGTTTTACTTGGTATTCAGCCCTGGAGACAAAGGAAGGCTATAATTTAACATTTCTCTCAACAAGAAATTCAAAACATACTTATATTTTTAAATGGTTAAATATCTTTTCCATGAAGAGACCCTGAAAACATGATGTCACATCAACAGAAGTATGAACCCTCTGTGCATTTCTTGGTCAATAACTTCCCACGCGCCATCTTGTGGTGAAACTGTGCTGAAATGACAGTTTCTCTACAACAGCAATCCCATCAATTTTATTTCAGTTAGTTAGTTATGAACATGATACATCCCTGAAATCCAGCAACTTATGTTGAAATCATCATGTTAAACATTGATTATAATGACTTCTAATTGCCTACGGATTTCTGTCTTGTCAGTTTATGTTACTTTTGGCTACATAAATTTGATGTATGATCAAAACATAGGCAGTTTTACAGACATTTTTACATAAATGTTACGTTTAGTGCACTGAGTAGTTTGAATGGAAAACAATGGGGGCCTATAATAGGGGTCCTCCTTTGGCACAATGCAGACACGCCCTCTACTGTTGACACACAACCATGCAAGAGTGTGAAGAAACCCTTCAAGTCACCAGTCTATAAATTTGTCATGAATTCTGTCATTATGCAATTTATTTAGTATTGTCACATTTGTAAACTGGTATGATTCAGCACTTGGATTTACTGGATTTCAAAGAAGGATACACCAAGTCCACTTCACAGCAATGTGTCATTGAAATAATACTTTTTTGTTTTGTTTGGTTAGATTTAATTCAGTATAATTTCATATGCTTCACTTAGTACTCCTATTTTATCGATTTCTGTCTGTTTCTATTTAGCTGAATTTATACCTGTACATGCATGTATATTTAAATTGTAGGTACACTGTAATACTGAAGTGTGAACCATTACGCTTTCTTTTAAAGCTGCATGTTTCTTTGAAACGAATGCAGTATTTTCTCAAACATCAATCCTTCACTCTCCAGGAGCTTTTGTAGGACTGGCTGCTTAATACCGTCGGCTTCTTGACTTTGACGGGAGCTCTAGCCTGGGAAGTTGAATGAGTGTATTAAATTATCTGTGCCTGTGACACAGAAAGACCAAACAAAGGATTTCTCACATCAGCAGAGCTTCCTGTGTGTCTTAAACAGCACTCTTATCTCTCTCTCTGGGTCCTTTAGTGCTGGTTCTCTGGATAAAACAGGACTGTACATTATTCTGTTATTAATACGTCAGGATCAAAAGCTTTTAGTGCTAACTGGTGGTAACAGTCTGTTTCTTTGACATGTACGGTTTGCCTCTAACCAAAGGCAGTAATGTGTTTAATTAAGCACCACACAAAATGTTACTTTTTATAAATTCTAAACATGTCCCAGGCATTTCTTCATTTGGATACAGTGCATTTATTTATGTACCATCCATCCTTTGTTCCAGGTAGTTCCAAATTTAACAATCTTTTGCTGAGTGAATCAGATTCTTAAGAAGTATTTGCTGTGTATGACACCATTCTTGTTCTTTTTGAGGGTAGAGAGCTTTCTCCTTCCCCCACTGAAATGTAATCCCAGAATAAGATTCTGTCACACTTGATGGCCATACTGGTACTTTGGTGTCAGCCTGTATTTGGTTTATGCCAGACACAACATTTGGCTTTCAGGTCAGCTTGAGTGTTGTCAGACTGCAGTATTTTCTTTTGAAGGGTTTTAGGTTCCATCTCCCAAAGAGCAGTGTTGAAGAACTGCTACTGATGCCTGGATAGTCTCTCCAATTTTAGCAAGAGAGCGTTGAATCTCTGTTACTCTTGCAACTGACCAGACAATTGCTCTTCTTGTCCAGTTGCTTAATTTGTCTGGGTTGTTTCTTTCTGTTTTGCCACAGTAGTCCTCAAAAGCATTCCTTAGAAGTTTTTAAGGTCTTCCAGGTTTCTGCCTAATAAAATTGTATGAGCCATTTTAATGCAATTATGTGTTTGTCCATTGGGTGGCTCACTGGAAATAGTATATTAGGGGAATTGGTTAATGAGACAGGTGTGTATTGGTAGTAGGGAAGCACACAGTTTTTGACCGGTTTGGATCGTGCTTCATCATGTCAAATTATTGGATTATGTGTTTGGACTGAGTTGAACTGTATGCTGTGTCTACAAGGTATGGACATTTGTATCCTATGAACTAGACAAAATGACACCACGGGAAGCAAATTGGAAGCAATGTTTATTCATTGGAGCACAATAAAGAAAGACACTGTTGCATTTTACTTCGGTTTTGCATGGACTTATTTTTACGCGTCAATTACTTGCTTGCTCCTATTACCAATACTAGCGTCTTAGTGGAAGCCGCTACAAAAATCTTAACATCTATTTCAATTCAGTGACTAATGAGAGCATGATCAGTTTGCTTGTTGGTATGTAAAAATGCAAAAGAATTTTGATTCTTACAGAATTGTGCATCTTCTGAACAAATATCCCATTTCATTATGCTTTAATTTGACATTAATGCTTTAATCGGCATTATTTTAGTTTTATTTGTGTGTGTGTGTGTGTGTGTGTGTGTGTGCGTGCGTGCCCGCATTTTTGTGACAAATGAGGACATAAATTTGTATAATGACAA